ATTTGGATTACATTGTTTTTATTGGATACAGATGTTTTTATTTGGATGCAAATGGATACATTTGTTGCAACCGCAAGACTTTTTCATATAAAATATATTAGCAGACTGGACTTCCAGTTTATACCAAAGATTCAGGTGTCTCACATTCCTATGATCTTCTTCTTCTTCTCCTTTCTTCTTCTCTTCTTCTCCTTCTCCTTCTCCTTTTCCTTCTCCTTTTCCTTTTCTTTTCCTTTTCCTTTTCTTTCTCCTTCTCCTTCTCCTTCTTCCTTTTCCTTTTCCTTTTCCTTGTCCTTGTCCTTGTCCTTGTCCTTTTCCTTGTCCTTTTCCTTGTCCTTTTCCTTTTCCTTTTTTCCTTTTCCTTTTCCTTCTCCTTTCCTTTTCCTTTCTCCTTCTCCTTCTCCTTCTCCTTCTCCTTTCCTTTCCTTTTCCTTGTCCTTTTGTCCTTTTTCTTGTCCTTTTCCTTGTCCTTTTTCCTTCTCCTTTTCCTTCTCCTTTTCCTTCTCCTTTTCCTTCTCCTTTTCCTTCTCCTTCTCCTTTTCCTTCTCCTTTTCCTTTCCTTTTCCTTTCTCCTTTCTCCTTCTCCTTCTCCTTTCCTTTTCCTTTTCCTTTTCCTTGTCCTTGTCCTTGTCCTTTTTCCTTGTCCTTTTCCTTGTCCTTTTCCTTTTTCCTTCTCCTTCTCCTTTTCCTTTTCCTTTTCCTTGTCCTTGTCCTTCTCCTTTTTTCCTCCTTTTCCTTGTCCTTTTCCTTTTTTTTTTTTCCTTTCCTTTTCCTTTTCCTTTTTCCTTTTCCTTCTCCTTCTCCTTCTCCTTCTCCTTCTCCTTCTCCTTTTCCTTGTCCTTGTCCTTGTCCTTTTCCTTGTCCTTTTCCTTGTCCTTTTTCCTTCTCCTTTTCCTTCTCCTTCTTTTCCTTCTCCTTTTCCTTCTCCTTTTCCTTTTCCTTCTCCTTCTCCTTCTTTTTTCTTCTTCCTTTTCCTTCTCCTTCTCCTTTTGGGGTCCTTCTCTTTTCCTTCTCCTTCTCCTTTTTCTTCTCCTTCTCCTTCTCCTTCTCCTTCTCCTTTGGTTCCTTCTCCTTTTCCTTCTCCTTTTCCTTCTCCTTCTCCTTTTCCTTTTCCTTCTCCTTTTCCTTCTCCTTCTCCTTCTCCTTCTCCTTCTCCTTTTCCTTGTCCTTGTCCTTGTCCTTGTCCTTGTCCTTGTCCTTGTCCTTGTCCTTTTTCCTTCTCCTTTTCCTTTCCTTTTCCTTTTCCTTTTCCTTTTCCTTTTCCTTTTCCTTTTCCTTTTCCTTTTCCTTCTCCTTCTCCTTCTCCTTCTCCTTCTCCTTCTCCTTCTCCTTCTCCTGTCCTTGCTCAATTTTCCTTCACTTTTTCCTTCTCCTTTTCTTCTCCTTCTCCTTCTCCTTCTCCTTCTCCTTCTCCTTCTCCTTCTCCTTCTCCTTCTCCTTCTTTTTCCTTCTCCTTTTCCTTCTTCCTTTTCCTTTTCCTTTTCCTTCTCCTTTCCTTTCCTTCTCCTTTTCCTTTTCCTTTTCCTTTTCCTAAAATAACCTTCTCCTTAACTCCTTCTCCTTCTCATCTTTCCATTTCCTCTCCTTTTCCTTCTCCTTCTCCTTCTTTCTCCTTCTCCTTCTCCTTCTCCTTCTCCTTCTCCTTCTCCTTCTCCTTCCTTCTCCTTCTCCTTTTCCTTCTCCTTTTCCTTCTTTAGATGTTCCTTCTCCTTCTCCTCTCCTTCTCCTTCTCCTTCCTTCTCCTTCTCCTTCTCCTTCTCCTTCTCCTTCTCCTTTTCCTTTTCCTTTTCCTTTTCCTTTTTTCATCTTCACATACTCCTTCTCCTTCTCCTTCTCCTTTTCCTTTTCCTTCTCCTTTTCCTTCTCCTTTTCCTTCTCCTTTTCCTTCTCCTTCTCCTTTTCCTTTTCCTTCTCTTTCCTTCTCCTTCTCCTTCTCCTTCTCCTTCTCCTTTTCCTTGTCCTTTCCTTGTCCTTGTCCTTGTCCTTGTCCTTTTTCCTTCTCCTTTTCCTTCTCCTTTTCCTTTTCCTTTTCCTTTTCCTTTTCTTTTCCTTTTATTTTCCTTTTCCTTTTCCTTCTCCTTCTCCTTCTCCATTTCTCCTTCTCCTTCTCCTTCTCCTCTCCTTCTCCTTCTCCTTCTCCTTTTCCTTCTCCTTTTCCTTCTCCTTTTCCTTCTCCTTCTCCTTCTCCTTCTCCTTCTCCGAATTGTCCTTCTCCTTTCCTCCTTTCCTTCTCCTTCTCCTTCTCCTTTTCCTTCTCCTTTTAGTTCTCCTTTTCCTTTTCCTTTTCCTTTCCTTCTCCTTCTCCCTCCTTCTCCTTTTCCTTTTCCTTTTCCTTTCATTCCTTTTCCTTTCCTTCTCCTTCTCCTTCTCCTTCTCCTTTTCCTTCTCCTTCTCCTTCTCCTTCTCCTTCTCCTTCTCCTTCTCCTTTCCTTCTCCTCTCTTCCTTCTCCTTCTCCTTCTCCTTCTCCTTCTCCTTTTCCTTCTCCTGGTCCTTCTCCTTCTCCTTCTCCTTCTCCTTCTCCTTCTCCTTCTCCTTCTCCTTCTCCTCCTTCTCCTTCTCCTTCTCCTTTTCCTTTTCCTTTTCCTTTTCCTTTTCCTTCTCCTTCTCCTTCTCCTTCTCCTTCTCCTTTTCCTTTTCCTTTTCCTTTTCCTTCTCCTTTTCCTTTTCCTTCTCCTTCTTCTTTTCCTTCTCCTTTTCCTTCTCCTTTCCTTTTCCTTCTCCTTCTCCTTCTCCTTTTCCTTTTCCTTCTTCTTATTATTCTTCTTCTTCCCGATTTTTTTTATGGGTGATTGGGGTACTCTAGCTCTGACTCAGCAGGGGGATGTTCTGCTACAAGGTTACTGCTTTCACACAGAAATCCCAGGGTCCTATTTGGTTGGAGCTGATTTTTAAAAAAAGGAACTGTAGGATTCGGCACACAATTTGTTGTAAGACAGGTGAAAAGGATTTAGCTAATTTAAACTTATAGTTCAATAAAGCTTTAACTGATTTACATGTACAGACAGAGTGGACATCACTACCACCCCCACACAGCACAGATTACCCAGCACACACACATCCCATAGTGGCAAATAACAGCTCTCTTGGGGCCTGTACATGCTCAATTCATCTTCACTTTAATGGACTTTTCTCCTCTATTAGTGGAAAAGGATCAGGCCAATGATATACCGCAACAAGCAGACAGTTAATTTTTAGGAGATATTTATCTTCATTCTATCCCTGATGGCAGCTTTCAATTTTCTGTTTTATGTAGCCCTTGTGATAAAATAACAATAAGACACTTAACGATTGTATGCTTCTGCATCTTTACATAAGACTAACAATGAGCAAAGGGATCTCACTGATAAGCTTTGAAGAATGTTTATGAATTTAGAAGTCTCTGAAGAAGTGTTCTACCCATTATTACCAGAAAACAAATACTTTTAGATGTTCGGAAAGCAAAATTGGTGATAGTATGCAACCTGTAAGAACAATTAACAGACCATAGGATGGAAGTGCATAAACTGAAATCTGATTAGTTTTCACTAATTGAATTTTACATATCACATACGTTAAGTATAACTGAAGCCAACTTCTGTTTTTCATTTTGAAGAAGGGAATGATTATATCCAATAGGGGTTTTTGTTGCCATCTGTGTCCCATTTGGGAAATCTGACGTGTGTTTGATAGCACTAGACAGGTCTTTCTCAATCTTTTCAACTTAGAGGAACCCTTGAAATGACATTCGGGTCTCAGGGAATACCTGCTAAAAAATTCCATATCTACAACTCATGATATATAATGATAGCCAGTGGAAAGATTGCTCCTTACACTTGTGGCCATTGGGAAGAATTGCCACCTACAGATAGCTAAAAAGATCAATTGTTCAGTGGGAACTTATCGGAGAGTCAGAAATTGCTCATTGCTCAAGTAACCCCTAACAACCTCAGGAGGAACCTCAGGGTTTCACTGAACCCTGGTTGAGAAACCCTGCACTAGATTGATAGAAGTAAGGTTTGGTTCTGATGGATTTGCAGTGGAGTGCATCTTCCTTTGAAGGGACTGATCCACAAAGAAGGTATAGTGTATGTGGAATTTGTTCTGATCCTAGGCTGGCTCTTTGATAGTGACAAAAAGTGTGTTTGGAAGATAATAAACTCTGGGGTGGGTATTAAGGAGCACATTGTACAGAAATTCATACAATTCTTCCATTTTTGAAGGATTTAATGGTTAAGAGCATTTGGCAATTTCCTATCACTTCCTGTTCTATAGACACAACAAGAAGTGAGAGGAGATGTCTCCTAAATTGGGAAAATTTCCTTTTAGACAGTTGTCACTGGAACAAGTGTCCCCATTGGAGGAATTCACCTCTAATTCTGTTCTGTTGACTACTCTATCCTTCCACTGCTACCCATATAACATGAGCATCAAGGGGGCTCCAGATGGCTGTTTCTCCCTTTGTAATGCATATTTTTTTCTAATTCTCCATCACAAGGACAATGGACACTAGGTTGCTATTTCTATTATCACCACTCAAAATTGTGTCAGATAACTGTATTCGTCTGACCCAACTGATTGACAGATGAACAGATTTACTGCAGTTTGCGCTTCTGGCTGCAAACACAAAAAAGAACTATCAACTTAAATATATATATAAGGATACAAACAGGATAGTACTTACTGATCAAAAGACAGCACCGTGCATAATTGTATTTTATTTAAAGCTAAACTACAGCCAAAAGCTGCATGGGTTTCCTCCGCGTACTCCGGTTTACTTCCACATTCCAAAGATATGCTGGTAGGTTAATTGGCTCCTGTCTAAATTGCCCTAGTATGTGTATGCATGAATGTGAGTTAGGGACCTTAGATTGAATGCTCCTTGAGGGTTAGGGACTGATTTGAATGTAATACAGTATATATACTATATTGCCAAATCTATTGGGACACCCCTCAAAATCATTGGATTCAGGTGTTCCAATCACCTCCATGGCCATAGATGTATGAAATCAAGCATGTAGGCATGCAGACTGCTTCTAAAAACATTTGTGAAAAAATTAGTCACTCTCAGGAGCTCAGTGAATTCAAGCGTGGTCCCGTGATAGGTTGCCACCTGTGCAATAAGTCTATTTGTGACATTTCCTTGTTACTAAATATTCCACGGTCAACAGTTAGTGATATTATAACAAAGTGGAAGCAACTGGGAACAACAGCAACTCAGCCACCAAGTGGTAAAATGACACAGCGGGGTCAGCGCATGCTGGAGCACACAGAGCGCATTAGTTGCCAACTGTCTGCAGAGTCAACAGCTAAAGATGTCCAAACTTCATGTGACATTCAGATTAGCACAACAACAGTGTGTAGAGAGCTTCATGGAATGGGTTTCCATGGCTGAGCAGCTGCAATCAAGTCTTACATCTCCAAGTGCAATGCAAAGCGTCGGATGCAGTGGTGTAAAGTACGCCACCAATGGACTCTAGAACAGTGGAGACGTTTTCTCTGGAGTGACAAATCACGCTTCTCTGTCTGGCAATCCAATGGATGTGTCTGGATTTGGCAGTTGCCAGGAGAATGGTACTTGCCTGACTGCATTGTGCCAAGTGTAATGTTTGATGGAGGGGGGATTATGGTGTGTGGGGTTTTTTTTTTTAGGGGTTGGGCTTAGCCTCCTAGTTCCAGTGAAGGGAACTCATAAGGCATCAACATACCAAGACACTTTTGACAATTTCATGCTCCCACTTTCTGGGAACAATTTGTGGATGGCTCCTTCCTGTTCCAACATGACTGTGCACCAGTGCACAAAGCAAGGTCCATAAAGACATGGATAAGTGAGTTTGGGATTGAGAAACTTGACTGGCCTGCACAGAGTCCTGACCTCAACCCGATAGAACACCTTTGGGATGAATTAGAGTGGAGATTGTGAGCCAGGCCTCCTCCCCCGACATCAGTGCCTGACCTCACAAATGTTCTTCTGGAAGAATGGTCCAACCTTCCCATAGACACCCTCCTAAACCTTGTGGACGGCCTTCCCAGAAGAGTTGAAGCTGTTATAGCTGCAAAGGGCGGGGTCAACTCAATATTGAACGCTATGGAGTAAGACTGGGGGGCCATTAGAGTTCACATGCGTGTAAAGGCAGGCGTCCCAATACGTTTGGCAATATAGTATGTATATATATGTGTATGTGTATGTATGTATGTATATATACAGTTGCAAGAAAAAGTATGTGAACCCCTTGGGATTACGTGGAGTTTTGCATGAATTGGGCATAAAATGTGCTCTGAACGTCATCTAAGTCACAACAATAGAAGAACACAGTCTGCTGAACATAATACTACACAAACATTAGATGTTGCCATGGGTTTAATTGCACATAACATGTAAACATTCACAGTGCAGGGAGGAAAAAGTATGTGAACCTTTGGACTTAATAATTGGTTGACCCTCCTTTGGCAGCAATAACCTCAACCAAACGTTTCCTGTAGTTGCAGATCAGACCTGCACAACGATCTGGAGTCATTTTGGACCACTCCTCTTCACAAAACTGTTCGAGTGTAGCAATATTCTTGGGATGTCTGGTGTGAATCGCTCTCTTAAGGTCATGCCACAGCATTTCAATCGGGTTGAGGTCAGGACTCTGACTGGGCCACTCCAGAAGGCGTATCCTGTGCTGTTGCAGCCATTGTTTTGTTGAATTACTTGTATTTTTTGGGTCATTGTCCTGGTGCATCACCCATCCTCTGCTGAGCTTCAGTTGGCGGACAGATGGTCGTACGTTTTCCTCCAAAATGTCTTGATAAACTCTGGAATTCATTTTCCCATCAATGACAACAATCCGTCCAGACCCTGAGGCAGCAAAGCAGCCCCAAACCATGATGCTCCCCCTCCGCCATGTTTTACAGTGGGGATGAGGTTTTGATGTTGGTGTGCTGTGCCTTTTTTTCTCCACACATAGTGTTGTGTGTTCTTCCCAAACAACTCAATCTTGGTTTCATCTGTCCACAGTATATTTTGCCAGTAGTGCTGTGTGGAACATCCAGGTGCTCTTTTGCAAGCTTCAAACGTGCTGCAATCTTCTTTTTGGACAGCAATGGCTTCCTCCGTGGTGTCCTCCCATGTACTCCATTCTTGTTTAATGTTTTCCTTATTGTAGACGTGTCAACAAAAATGTTAGCATGTGCCAGAGATTTCTGTAGGTCTTTAGCCGACACTCTGGGATTCTTCTTTACCTCATGCAGCATTCTGTGCTGTGCTCTTGCAGTCATTTTTACAGGATGACCACGCCTAGGGAGAGTAGCAACAGTGCTAAACTTTCTCCATTTGTAGACAGTCTGTCTTTCCGTGGACACATGAACATCAAGGCTTTTGGAGATACTTTTGTAACCCTTTCCAGCTTCATGCAAGTCAACAATTCTTGATCGTAGGTCTTCTGAGAGCTCTTTTCTGCGAGGCATGGTTCACATCAGACAGTGCTTCTTGAAACCAGTAAACCCCAAAACAGGTGTGTGTTTTTTAAGGGCAGGACAGCTGTCAGCAACACATCCAATATCATCACACTGATTGGAGTCAAGGTTGGCTCACTCCTGGCTCCAATTAGCTCTGGGAGAAGTCATTAAGCTAGGGCCTCACATACTTTTTCCTCCCTGCACTGTGAATGTTTACATGTTATGTGCAATTAAACCATGGCAACATCTAATGTTTATGTAGTATTATGTTTCAGCAGACTGTGTTCTTCTATTGTTGTGACTTAGATGACGTTCAGAGCACATTTTATGCCCAATTCATGCAAAACTCCACGTAATCCCAAGGGGTTCACATACTTTTTCTCGCAACTGTATATATATATATATATATATATATATATATAAATATATCTGTGTGTGTGTGTGTGTGTGTGTGTGTGTGTGTGTGTGTGTGTAAAGCACTGTGTAAATTGAGGGTGCTATATAAGTACCTCTAATAAATAAAATGAATACACAGTTGAATTGTGCATATGGAAATTGTTTTGTCTGAGCCTGATCTCGATCCAGCAATGTGCACAGGAGCAAAGACTCTCTCCACTCTCTTCCGGGGCGAGCCAAGCTCTGTGGGTTTTATAGACACATAGAGTGGGGCTCAGGAGCGAGTACCCCCATAGCAAGTGACTTGTGTCATAAATTCCTTTCAACCAACAAGGGGAGAATGGAGGAGAAATATTATACATATAGCATATGCGTCAATAAAAATAGATTTAAATGTAAATGTGAGGGTAAATGAATGGACACAAAGGGGTGGGGATGCTCGTTACAATACCCCATCGTGCCTAAGGGTAAAACAAATGTCAATGCCTTAGCACAATTTTGCAACTTTGACATGTGTTAGTAAAACCGTACATATCATCACAACTACTTTGTGCATCCAGGGGAATTATACCTTGTTTTTTTCCGGGCCAAATTGGGCTTTCATTTTGGTGGTAATGGATATCTCCTTATCAAAGGAAAACTGTCCCAAAATAGTAAAAAAAATCTTTTTCTTTATTTTTTATTTAGTTGTATATTTCTTGCTACTTCCATAATCTGCCACCAAAGAACAACCTCCAACAAATGCTTTCTGCTCCTGATGATTGCAGTGATACCACATATGTGTATGTTAGTTGTTGTTTGTACCCTTAGTACAGCCCAGAAACAATAGTGTGCAATTTGCTTTTTTTTAATCCTACCTAAAACACACTGACGCTAACCGACGCTGATACTAATTTATTTATTTTTTTTAAACCTGCCCAAAAAAAATACTGACCCTTGCCTTTGACCCTGACCTTGACCCAAACACTAACCCTGACACTGACCTAGCCCAACCTTCATTATTATTTTTTTAACACAGTTTTTTTTTTCTCGAAAGGCAAGAGAAAGATACAATGTATCTCTGTCCTCCATTTAGAGCAGTGATGATGAACCTTTTAGAGCCCGAGTGACCAAACTGTGACCCAAAATCCATTTATTTATCACAAAGTGCCAACACTGCAATTAAACCTGAATACTGAGGTTTTAGTTTTGAAAAAACAATTTGTACATTAACATCTTTTGTTTTAAAAGAAAAACTGTTAGTTAACAAAGAATTGGATATTCCCTGAATCAACAATCTACGGCAGTGATTCACAGCTGGAGTTCCTCTTGAATTTGCTGACCACCAGAACAGAGGGGCAATGTTCCACTGACCACAAGTACAGACGGGCAATGTTCCAATGACTACCAGCCAGGGGTGGACTGACCAATTGGAAACTCGGGCACTGCCCGAGGGCCCGGGGTCAGTAGGGGGCCCCATGAGATGCCCCTGGTACCTTTATCATAGGCTTTTTTGAGTTTGGGCAAGGACACAGGGGCCCCATGAGATGTCAGTCTGCCCCTGCCACCAGCACAGAGGGGCAATGTTCCACTGACCACCAGCACAGCTAATCAGAGGCTATCACAGTAATCAGGTGACCTGGAATCGGGAGTTCCAGGTCCCGATTGCTACTACAGGGCCCAAGGCGTTCTGTGAGACCCCAACCTCTGTGCTGGGAGCTGCGTTAGGTCATGCAGTTGATATAATATGACCACGCGGACATATTTGGTGAATGATGTCATGAGGATCCCCACTCCTTTGTGTACATCACCTGGGGAAATCCCCTTCCTGCAGCATATTGGCCCAGGAATGTCAGTTGACTTCCAGGTTTGGACATAAACCTGTTTGGAGCAAACACAACCTCATCCCTACTCACAAGGGATTTCACCCGCAACATCTCTGCTCTCTAGCTGCCAGAACTGCCCCTGCCAGCCGTGGAATTGCACTAGTCTCTTTACATCAAGGGTATTTCCATTCTTCTAGTTGCACTCATCATAACATAACATAAAAGGATTCACTCCCCGTCAATGCCTTTCTCAACTGCAGGTGTGAATACTAAAGAACATATATTCCCTAGCAAAGTTTCTGATAGACAAAAGAAACCGCTGAATGATTTAACTCTCCATCATCTAATAAAATCTGAAATAACAGTTCTGGGTTGACTGTTCCCTTGAAATCTCTCAATCTTCAAACCTTCTTGGCAGTTGGGGGGTGGAATAAAAATGTACGGATTGTGTTTTGAATCCAGCTTTGAGCTAAAGCTTGTTTAGATGTAAATAAAAGAAGTTTAGAAAATATCCATGACTGCTGCAGAATTATGAATGCCTCAGTGATTATTTCACAAAATATGGCTCTTCTTTATAAACTTAGCTTGTTAAGAAGGAGCGATACTGCATAGCTATTAAATTCCTGTGATTAAAGATAGATTGGATTGGGTGGATTGTAATGGTAAAAATATTGAGCTGCCAGCGCAAATGAAGTCTTTTAATTGATCGTCTTAGCAAATGAACAGGTGAGCAGGTGTAACTCTACACACTGAGAGTGTTTGGAATGTATAACAAATTCAATTGCTATGCTCTAGATTTTGGTTTGTTTAAATCTGAACTCCAGGTGGATATAAAA